AAAAATGGAGAAATTGTATTAAAAATGCATTTGCTACCAAAGTAAAAATATTAAGCACTCAAAATTCAAGAAATGCCAGAAGGTATAGGTCTTGTCAGATGTTTATGTGACAAACATCTACATATTGTTCTGTTATACAGGGCACCTGCTAAATGAATATTTTTGTTGGATATTGTGAACAATTTCTCCTCTAGGACTAAAATGGTAAATGGAAGTGACTTCAGAGACCAATAGTTTTCTGATGCCAAAAGCATCAAATATTCAGCAAGACTGTAGAGAATGACCAATAAAAGATTTGGCTAGAAATCTCACTGAAATCAAGGTGACCCAGTCCCTATTCCATAGAAGTGGAAATGAACAAACAAGAGAACAAAAATACTGGAAATGCTGTCTCTTCAAAACCCCAGAACCTAACTCAAAGATGTTACAAGTTGTAAAAGTTTCCAGTTTTTACATCAGCACAGTAAAGATGCAAAAAGTGACTCTATGGACAGATGTACTCAATATAAAGGTTTTTTTTCTGACACAGTCAGGAAATATATTAAATATGGACTATGGTCAAGTGATGTTTTGTGATGTTAGGTACTGCCCAGTACCTAAGCCAGCATGCTGTGTGCTAAAGGAGTCCAGGAAGACATTACGTGTTCCTATCTTAGTAACTGACCTAGAGTTTGGCCACATTTGAAGCTTCAAACTGTGCAGAACAGCGGCATAGCTAGAAGGGAGGATTTAATCCCTTGCAGTCTCCTGGGAAGAACCTGGAAGCAACATGTAACAGTATTTGGAATGCATTCCCCTTCTGTATTTGACGATTGTCACATTGTTTGCTATGGGGCTTGTTTAGGGCATTAATGCAACTAAACGTTGGTTGCCTGGATGCAAGTAAGGGACATTTACTTCTCATCTATACTTATCAATATTTTAAGGCCCACACATTGCCTCTTGGAGTTTCAGCTCCAGCAAGCTGAGGCAGCCATTGCACTCATGCTGCCACACAGAAAGGTGGTCCCAAAGGGCAGTCAGTGAACCCTTAGCTAAAGAGACTGAGGTTTCTGTGACTGATCACTCTAGTCAGAGAGAGAAGACCTCCTTCCCACCTGGTAAGGGAGGCCTGGGAAGGTCTGTCCTGCTACACACATTCTGGAAATGTCCCAGAATGTGGGATCTAGACCCACCTCAGCTTCTCAGTAGGGATCCAGGTGGTATAAATATCTGATTTGAGTTGCCCGAGCTCTTAAACAGGTTTTGCTCTTAGCAAAGGAAGAAAATAGTCTATGTATTCACTAATGACCACAACTCCAAAAAAGAGTGCTTGCAGGCCATTTATTGCAGCACATCCTAGGAGGCAATTATAGCTGCGGTTGCCCCATGTGAGGTATAAGAGTGGGAGACTGAAGGGATTCCCCAGCACATAGGGAGGAACTCAGCCAGGAGGCCCTGCCCTGGAGGTCTGCACTGCCAGCGCACAGATGCTGCAAACTGTCAGCATTGAAAGAACTCTGGCATTGTCTGCCACTTTGAAAACTTGCTCTCGTTTACAAATGAAATCCATGTAATTAATGTAGAGGCACTAAAGACTATCTCACAGAACACTGCTGTTTTTATTATAGCTCTTGAAAACCTTTATTAGATATACTAAGTAGTAACTACAAAGTCTGCATGCATCACATCAGCATCCCTCGGAGAACTGAGTCAGTAGCATAGATCTTTGTTTTCTGGGATTTTTGTTTTGTTTTGTTTCACAATTCAAGTGGTTTAAATGTTATTAATCTAGATTTGCTGAAAAGGTCTGTGAACCTTTCAAGGCGCCTGGTCTGAGTTTGGAGTTTGTAACAAAACCTGAAACCAGGCAAGTTTCATGTGGTTTTGAATTTCATTGTGAACGTTTCACCTAGATGTTGAAATAGGCTCAAAGTAACATTCCCAGTTTGAAAGTCTGTGAGAATTTCCCATTCAAAAGGATCAAGAACTGTTTGGTGGCATTTTAAACAAAGAGTAGAATTCATCCATGTACTGATGAGCTGAACAAGGCCTTCACTTCAACCTAATTCAGACCTCAGGATGAGGACTTAATATGGTATGTAAACCTTCTGCACAGAGGTGAATGTCAACCCGTACAAACACATACTGCATGGCTACTGTTTCAACTCAGGCTATTTTAATGTGGCATGAGAAGCCTGAAAGGAAGAAAAATATAGGTATATAAAATGAAAATACTGAGGTTAATACAATATTAAGATTTACAAATATATTCTTCACTGGCCAGAAAATTTCAAAAGCAATGGTACCTATCTAATAACGCTTTATGATAGTTGCCATTGTTTTTCTATACCTACAAGTGATGGAGTTCTGAAATCATGCAAGAAATTCACCTTTCACTTGAGAGAAAAAGTGCATAGTGCCATGGTTTTGGAAAAACAAAACAAAACAGGAAAATGAATCCAGATGTATAAAATATCAAAGACAAAAAGAATCACTTTTATGTTTAACAATATGATTTTTAGACCAACCTGATGACTTTGGGACCATGACATCTTATTTTCAGTGCTTGGTGCTGGCAACACTAGCAGAGGCAATATGCTGTGCAGCAGATTTCAGCATCTGAGACTGTTAAGTGTAATAATATGTCTACTTTGGTCAAATTAGTGAACACCAGAGGCTCCTGGTGTGCTACCTGCATTTGGAGCTGTTGTCTGCTTGCACTAATGCCAAAGCTGCTACTTAATACTCATGAGCTCTTGTAGGAGGGATGATGGGTGGCTATCTGCACAGAGAACGGGCTGATCCAAGCTATGGGCCCATTGCTCGTAGCCACCCAAAGCTGAGGGCAGGGAAAAGGTGTCAGGACATGCTGCAGACTGGGAGACAGCAGGTGTGGTGGTGAGGTTTCTTGTTGCAGGCTGCTCTGGGTGGCTGTCTAAAAGGAATTTCTATAGACTTCTGTTGCTATAGCTATGCTGTGAGTTCTAAAAATAGTTCTCTATATCCCAACGTTCAGTTAAATTGTCTTTCCACATGTATGTTTTGTTTTAGTTGGGACATAATGGGAAGCAAAAGCAGTCTTGCTAGCATAAGCTGTATCTGCTCTAGAAGCAGCTCCTTGCTTCGAAACACCTTATTATTCCACTAGCAGTGCTCTCCTCATGTAGCAGTGCTAGCATTATCCCTAGCTGTCCAAGTGAGCTGGGAACACCCTCCATATCCTTAATAAGCAGAAGTTTGTCTTGCTGTTTTGTTCTTCCCTTTTATTTCCAATCTCTAGGCACAGCTTTGTTACCTGAGGGGCTCAGGCCTCCCAAAAGTCTTCAGCTTGTGAAACTCATTTTGAGTTGACTGAATCACTTCATGGGCCACATTAATCAGATAGGCCTTCCTTTCCTCTGTTTCCCTCTTCCATTACCCAGTAGGATGGGGACTGGCTGACAGCTCACAGCAGCTTCTGCTGGCAAACTACTGAGTTTTATTTCGGCCTACTGTATTACTGAAAACATCCAGGAAACCAGCCCATTCCCACTCCTACAGATGCTAATCCCCTGGGACTGGTCTCCTTTGCCTTCTCCAGAGCCCATACTCCCACTGCATCTTCTTTTTTTCACTAAGAAAATTGAATCCGTCTCTTCCACATCCAGGATGGATGAACAGCCCTTCCAAGCCACCTCAACTCCTCAGCAGGACCAGGAAGAGAGGAAGTGAAACTGCTCCAGGAGGACCCAAAACCAGAGCCCAGGAACAGCATCCGGACGGTGTGGCTTCTGCCCCGTTAGAAGAGAAGGTAAAAATGCTGTGATAGTCCCATCAGGTGTAAAACCGGGAACGTAGATCTATCTCGTGGGAAGCCCTCACTTGCCTTTCCACGGCTGCGGTAACGGGGAAGTGGGCACGCAGAGGTGCACAGGGATTATGTGGAAGGGAGCAGGGTGCCCGTGAGCACCGGTCACGGCGGGTCGGCCACGCCGGAGAGAGACAGAGAAAGACCCGTCTGCGAGAGACAGCATAACCGGTGTGTGAGAGGGAGGGCCCAATTTGTGCTGTGTGGCCACTTTATGCCTTTCCTGCCAGCATAAAGAGGCTGTAAAGCCCGTCTAACAGCCCCCCGGGGAATCCCTCTTATGCAAGGGGAGTCCCCGGCAGCTGTGGGCCGGGGTAGCTGGCTCCCTGCCATCCCCCGCCGAGCCGGGGCTGGGGAAGCGCGGGCGGAGGTGTGGCTGCCGGGGCCCCTCAGCCATTGCCGGCTACCAGGAATGCCTCGCCGCGGCTGCTAGCAGCCGGGCTCCGGCGGGCAGCTGGCTGGGGCTCCCCGGGAGCAGCGCGGGGACGGGGCGCGTCTGCGCGGCGCCGGCCGCCGCCCGGGCCGGGACGAGCCCGCCGGCGAGCGGGGCACTTCCACCCCGGCCATTTTCCTCAGGCGGGAGGCGGTGGCGGCCCGGGAGCCCCGGCACCGGCCGCCCGGGGACGCGGCGCAGAAGCCGGCCGGCAAGGGCACAGCCGCGCAGGCCGAGCCGGGACCCCCACCGGCCCCAGGCGGGGAGGCGCGGGGCGGCCGCGGCGGAGCTGGGGGGGCGGCCGCGGCGGAGCGGGGGGAACCTCCGCCGCCGGCTCCCTGCCCGCCTGCCCCGCGGGCGCGGGCCGCCGCTAGGCCCCGGCCCTCCCCCCCCGGCCCCGCGCCGCGGAGCTCCGCCGCGCCCAGGGGGGAGCCCCGCCGCCGCGGCCGCGGCGGGAGCCCGCTGCCCCCCGTCCCGCCGCCCCGGGAGCTGGAGCGGGAGCGGGGCCGCGGCGCGGGCGCCCCGCCGCCCCTCGCGGGACGCGGCGGCCACGGCGCGCAGGGCCGCGGAGCGCCCCCGCCCCCCGCGCCGCTCCCCCTTTGAAAACTGATCTTTGGCTCTTCGCGTGAAAGTGATTTGAATTTGGCTCGGCGGCGCTCTGCGCAGGCGTCCAGCTGCTGGCATGCTGGCTCCTTGCAAAGCAGCTGTTTTGGGTTTGAAATTCCAACATGGCAGAGGCTGCAGTCAGTCTTCCCTTCAAAAACTTGGAATGATTTCAAATCATAGGCACCTTCACTTAACCCGAGCCCCCATTCATCAGCAAACACATCGGATCGATGCTACTCTAACCTATCGGGTTCTTGTACCAAATCTCCAGGTAAGAGGATTTTTTTTTTTTCCTAGTCTTCCTACCATCGTTTTAAATTTTATTTAATCTTAAAGCTCTCCGAGACAGCCGCGTATTTTTTTTAATCGCCTGCTCGTGCCCTAAATATTTTGCCTAATTTGCAGTCGTTTTATGATACTAAACACTCTGGTCTGCTTTCCTAATCGTAGTCTGGAAAGTACAGATATACAATCGCAGTGCATGGTTTTTCCTCCTTGATCATTGCCAACAATAGTAGGCAGATTAAGAGTTCGCGATTGCAAGCTCCCTCCCTACCTCCTCCTCCTCCTAATTGGATTTATTTTTAAGTTGCATTGAAAATAATAAACCACAGGTAACGCGGGGCTGGACTTTGAGGCAACTAACTTCTGAGTAAATAAGTGCAAATAAGAATCTCGCAAAACAAAAGTTAGGTTTAAATTGCTGTGTCTCGGCTGGGGGGGGGGCACGAATATGTCAGAGGAGCTGTTGCAGTAAAATGTAAGCACATCATCTTGGAGGGGGTACAGCGTGGTGGGCGTATTGTTGGCTCAGAAGGGAGAGAAAGATGTATAATTTAATGGTATATACAATCCACTGATCCTATTACTATCCTCCCTGGAGCTCTTGTTAGTTTCAATGGGAGTGAGTGGAATTGACATGGACTTGCATTCCTGGTCATGTGCTTTTTTTTTTCCCCTTTCTTTCTTCTCTTGTGATCTGAGATCCCCTTTTTGTTGATGTTGCTTTCCCACTTAATTATATGCATGTAGGTTAAATGAATACCTGACGAAAGGGCCCACGTTTCAAGGCAGTGACATTTGATAGCTGAGAGGAAAAGTGGCTTTAATGAAAAGCAACCTTTGGAATTCCTGCTTGTGAAAAATCCAATTCAGCTTTTTGTGCTGCCAGCAAGAAATGATCAGTAGCACCAGTGTTTATGGTATGTCCGTTTTGGGATCTACTTCCTTTGCATCTAAATAGCAAAGACAAATTTAAATAGCATGATAATGCACTGAGGACTCTGCATGCAAGTATTTTGTAATAAATACCTAATGTTTAATAGCGTATTTTAATTTCTGTACATATAGGCATTTTTTTTCTCTTGCTATCATTTGTTTATCATTTCTGCTTCGATTGTAGCATTAGTTTTGTCCATTGCATTGATCTCAGTTGTAAAACCTAAAGTTGCATGTTACTAGTAGTGCACTATATACACCACTGAACTCCAATGGTATGTAAATTAGTAAAACTCGGTGACTGGAGAAGGCAAAAATGCGTAGCAATGAATATATATACCTATACATCTATGTTCTCATACATACATGCTTAAAATGCATCTTATCCTTTTGCAAACTAATAATTTCTAAGTATTTATTTGAACTCTAGCTGCTTTTCCCTCTCTTACTCTCAGTGTAATCATCTGCTAGAGGTTTTAACTGATGTGGGGTGAGGGAATGTTTTGCATGTAAACAAACAAAATTACTGTTGTGGCCGAATGTTTAATACTGTTTAATAAGTGGTATTTTATGCTTAGTTTACAAGTGTCTGGTTCCCACTGCTCTGTTCTCAATGTGTAACAGAATGAAATAATCAGGTGTTGAAACTGGCTTCATTTTAACGGTCACTCTCCAGCCCCCCACGCCACCCCCTCCTCCAAAAAAGTCAGATAAAATGGAGCATGGAGAATTTCAGTAGATCTTGTGGTGCAGTAGGTATGTCTCTAGGTATGCAATTAAGTCTAAGGAACTAACAACAGAAGTGACTGTTAGTCTGTTTTGTGAAACCAAAAAGGGGTACATTCACTTTTAATTGCATGTGGTAGCATCAAATAAGGATGGAGGGAGAGTGAGTGAGTGTGTGTGTGTGTGTGTGTGTGTGTGTGTGTGTGTTTGGGATAAGGGGGAGGTCTGGCATGTGTGGCTGATGATCTCTCATAATAACATATCTGAATGCAAGAAAGAAATTGAGAGAGCAGTTGCACAATGTACACTCCTATTTTAGTGCTGTAGGTGACTATATTGCTAAACATATCCCAGGTGCTATATGATGGGAATGATCTGATTGCATTTTGCATTTAGAACTTGTTGACTTTGAAGCGATCAATAAGGCGACTGTTTATTTTAGATGCACATAATTTGCCCTGAGAAATGTTTTAAGGAGGAGAGCGAGCGAGCGAGAGCGGAACGTGGTGGTTTTTTTTTTTTTTTTTTTTTTCCTAGAGCTGTTGGAGCGAATGTGATTGCCAGATGGGAGATTTCCCTCTGTGATGTTAAAGCTGTAATATATATTCAGAGCAGATTGGACTGCTGCTTGTGATGAGGAGGATATTACATTTATAAATTTTAAATCGGGAATCGGACAGTAGGCTGAGAGCTCAAATTGGATGGTGTGGACAGTTTGGACTGTTAAATGCAATTCCCAGATAATAATAATTATTATAGTAGCAGTAATATATATATGTATAATAAACATGATACTATTAGGCAGCTACGTATATATTCTCTGGTACTTAAGTATATATTTCCAAATATTATTTCTCTTCCCCCTCTTGTTAGAGATTGGAGGTGGTTGGGAGAGGGCTTTAAAAGCCCACTGTTAGGAGAAATCAAATGTAATCAGGTTGCTGTCTGAAGAAAAGTTTTACTACAATTCTTGTTGTGGATGCACCTCTTTCTGAGTTTTTGTTTTGCCCATGTATGTGGTCTGACAGTGCCACAATCCTGAAGGGCTGGAAAGTGGGAACTAGTCACACTCGAGCAGCTCTGCTGTTGCAAATTAAAAGTGTGTTGTGGTCAGGAAATGAAAGCTACAATGTCTCTTTTGAACAAGTCGTTTATCAAGAGAAACATCTATCAAGCAGTGACTTGTCACATTGATCCTCTAAAAGTTAGGTCCGAAGTGGAAGCTGCTTTGATGTTTTTGATCCCAAATTTATAAAATTGAAAAAGCTGGAGAGAGTAGGACTGATTTGCACTTAAAAATGACTCTGCTCTGGGCGTGACAAAATCATCAAGTATCTGTGATACAGAGCTGGTAAACCAAGGAGGTATCGGATCTTTTCCCTAATTTTTATTTTCATGTTGAAACTTTAGCTTTGCCACCCAGGCATCTCTTTTCATACTTTCAGAGATTCTCTCTGTATATCTCTGCATTATTTCATTGAGGATATTTTCTTGCTTAGAGATACATCTGTTGCTTTCAAATTGAACCTTTTTCCATCGTTTTTGTGGTGGTATTTATAGAGTTCAGCTTGAGAAGGCAATTTCAGATTTTTTTTTTTTTTGTCTCATCTCAGTCTTGTTTCTTTTTATGTATTTGTAGTCTCAGTTTCCACCTCTCCTCCCCATGAAGCAAAGTTTCTTTTACTGCCAAAGTAATGTTTATTGCAAGTAAGGTACATTTGAAGGTATCTGTTTGCGCAGCTTAAAACATGTTAGGAGTCCTGTTAAATATGTCTTCCCTTTATCCTCTTTTTGTTTCCATTTTTGACATAAGAACCACACTTTCATTTTCAACAGAAGCAGTGCATTTCAAATTGAATATAAAATTGAGATTTCAAGTAACAAAAAAAAAAATAAAAAGGACCAAAACAAAGACTTTTATCTGTACGTATTTTCAACCTTTTAATTGTTTAGCAACTTTTTAGAAAAGTTTTTAATTTTGCATGAAGTTTGTGTTTGGATTATCAAGGAATCCCTTTGGCAAAAGAGGATTTTGTTGTTTCTTTGTTGTTGGGGTTTTGTTTTCTTTTCTTTTTTGGCTAAGGTATGAGCAAAATCTTCCTTAAAGCAGGATGCTTTGACTTCTTTTCTTCAGTGTCATAAATGAGACTAATACTGCTTATGGATACTTGATAGAGACCCATTTGCAAATAGGCAGCAAACAGCAGCGTGGTGGGAGTTTTGGTGAGTGTTATACTTGCTAATTAATCATGTTTGAAATGAAGGAATCATAGCATGGTAATAAAGGCTCATTGTTTGATGTTTGTAACAGGATGTGACTCCTACACAAATCTGGTGGGTTTGGGTTTTTTGTCATTATTTCCCCCCCTTCATAATAAGATACCTTCAGTACTCGATCAAATTGTTTTTATTTATTGCAACATCAGTGAAAGCACAGGGATCATTGCTTCTCTTATTCTATCAGTATTTTAGAAATAAGAAGCTTGAATTGTTATTAATATCTTCATCATACAGTTCATGGTAAAAAATGACAGTCTTATGTCATTCGCTGTTCTTTAAGACTTTTTTTTATTTAAGCACAGCCAAAAAAATCTTTGTGTGGTGTTTTGTTTGTTGGTTTATTCGTTTGTTTTTTTTTTTTTTTTTTTTCTTGATATAAAAAGCCTACTACTTTTTTTCTTATAATTGATAAAATGGCACTTCATGAACTTTTGTGCCCTACTTACTTAGGCATATGTAGTAAGAGATAGCAACTAAAAATATATTCCGGAATAGGTTGTGTACTAGCCCTTTAAAAATTAAACTGTAAAACACTTGGATAGTGTTTTTTTTTCCTTGTTTTAGTTTTTAATATGGCTCTTACCAGATGCGTCATCTTTAGGCTTTATTGTTCACCTTTCAGTTAATAACTACTCTATGTGATAATCTCCTTTAGACCGCAAAGCTGTAGTTTCAAAATTTAATTAATTAATTAACGCTATTTTATGCTGCATGAACAAGGTTTGAAATCTACTTTTGTTTAGATGCTCTATTCCTTTTTAAAAATATAATTCCTAGAGGAAAATGATTCTGTGCAGTTCCTGTCAATATATTTGTTCAATGAATGCATACAAGAAGCATTAAATAAAATGACTAATCTTCCCGTAGTCTTAATCATCAATTAATAGGCTTATCTGCTTGTTAGAAGTGTGTTTAATGGTACAGAATCAGTATGAGATCTGTGTATATGAAATATTTGTATGTTGTTTATAACAGAATGAGTTTTGATCTAGCATTCCCAGATCTAATAATAGAAATATTTGGCTCTTTGCCCTCAATCAATATATC